TGCTCCCTCAGGTGTGTCTCAGGTAGACCCACCCCCCTTGGTTGAGCCTTTGGAGATCTCTTTTGACTCCTCTTGCCCAGCTGATGGGGATGACCCCGCCGCTGACGACACGGCGGCCACTCGCCGCTCTCCACGCTTGGAGACCCCCCCTGGTTTTCCCCCTAGGCTGTCTTCGCCGCCTCCGCAGCCTGCTACTGTGGACTCTGGAGCTGAGACTGCTGGTGCTGAGCCTGGGGGTGCTGAGACAGAGGGTGAGGGTTCTGGGGGTGCTGCGACTGGGGGTGCTGCGACTAGGGGTGCTGGTTTTGGGGGTGCTGCGACAGGGGGTGCTGATTCTTGGGGTGCTGCGACTGGGGGTGCTGACTCTGGGGGTCCTGCGAGTCCTGGTGGCGGTGGAGGGTCCAGTCCTGCTGGTGTTGGAGCTACTAGTCCTGGAGGTGCTGGAGGTGCTACTAGAGGTACTAGAGGTGCTGCTGGTGCTGGAGGTACTGGAGCTGCTAGTCCTGGAGGTACTGGAGCTGCTGGTGCTGGAGGTGCTGGAGTTGCTGGTCCTAGAGGTCCTGCTGCTGCTGGAGGTGCTAGAGGTGCTGCTGGTGTTAGAGGTACTAGACGTGCTAGTGGTGCTGTAGGTGCTGGAGCTGCTGGTGCTGGAGGTGCTAGAGGTGCTGGAGGTACTGCTGGTGCTGGAGGTACTAGAGGTGCTACTGGTGCTGGAGGTACTAGAGCTACTAGTCCTACTGGTCCTAGAGGTGCTGGAGGTACTACTGGTGCTGGAGGTACTGGAGTTGCTGGTGCTGGAGGTGCTGGAGATGTTGTTGCTGGAGGTGCTGAAGGTGCTGGAGGTGCTGGAGCTGCTGGTGCTGGAGGTGCTGGAGGTGTTGCTGGTGCTGGAGGTGCTGGAGCTACCACTGCTGGAGGTACTGGAGGTCCTGCTGGTACTGGAGGTACTGGACCTGCTGGTGCGCTTCGCCACCTTCTCGGTCTTCCGCCAGCTCCTACTGAGTTCCCAGTCGCTGGTACTACTCCTCCGTTACTGTTCCTACAGCTCCTGCCTCACTCCCCACTGCCTGCTCCTGCTCCTTACACTGCTGTGACAGAGCGTCGAGAGCATGAGACTCGTGCTTCCACTCCAGAGCGTCGAGAGCCTGAGACTCATGCTTCCACTCCTGAGCGTCGAGAGCCTGAGACTAGAGATTCTCTCCGTACTCGTGTTCCTCGTGTTCATCGTTCTTGTGCTCCGGCTGTCCCAGGCACTCACGATATGACACTCTGTCCTTCCTCTGTTCCACAGCAATTTGTCCTGCCGTCACCTCCTGTGTCTTCTCTTCCTGCTGTTGCAAACCCTCCGTCTGACCTTGCTCGTGCGTCCACTCTGGCTATTACTCGCTTTCTTGCTACGGTTGTGACGGACCCTACGCTCTCGTCTCCTGCTGCGTCTGCCTTAGTCGCTGAGCTAGTTGACTTTGCTGCTGCGTAACGCCTAGACTACCTTGCGAGTCTCGTTTTTGACCCTGACCCTGCCTGTCCTCTGTCCATCGGGGGTGAGGTTGCCCTTGGCTGTGACGTTCTTGAGGACAAGCAGGAGGAGCTAGAGTGTCTTGCGGCTGCTAGACCTCATCTCGCGACCATGCTGCTTGCCCCTGAGGGAGACCCGGATGCCCTTGACATCCCCACCCCGCGCTCTTACAGAGAGGCGATCTCGGGTGAGTACTCCTCTCAGTGGCAGACAGCCATGGATGCGGAGATGGCTTCCAGGAAGTCCACAGGCACCTACGTCGACGAGGTTCCCCCACCTGGGGCGAACATCGTCAGTGGCATGTGGATTTTCAGGGTGAAGCGACCGCCGGGTTCTCCGCCTGCCTTCAAGGCGCGTTACGTTGCTCGAGGCTTCAATCAGCGTGAGGGGGTCGACTTCTTTCAGACCTTCTCCCCTACCCCGAAGATGAACACGCTTCGAGTGTTGCTACACTTTGCAGCTCAGCGTGACTACGAGTTGCACTCCCTCGACTTCTCCACAGCTTTCTTGCAGGGTAGCCTTCACGAAGCCATCTGGTTGCGCCGTCCACCTGGCTTCACTGGGTCGTTTCCTGAAGGTACCCAGTGGAGCCTACGGCGACCAGTTTACGGCCTGCGTCAGGCACCTCGCGAGTGGCACAAAACACTGAGGACGACACTTGCGGCTCTTGGGTTTGCTCCTTCGATTGCTGACCCGTCGCTGTTTCTGCGCACTGACACTACCCTGCCGTCGTTCTACGTTCTCATGTACGTCGACGACTTGGTTTTTACTACTGCTGACATGGAGGTGCTGGCTCTAATGAAGGCAGAGTTGCACGAGAGATACACCTGCACTGACCTGGGTGAGCTGCGTAGCTATCTTGGCTTGCAGATCACCCGGGACAGAGCACGGCGCACCATCACTCTGACTCAGTCACACATGGTGCACCAGGTCCTTCAGAGCTTCGGCTTCCAGTTCTCCTCGCCACAGCCCACTCCTCTGTCTACTGGCCACTCGCTCTCAGCTCCACCTTCGGACGAGTCCGTAGAGCCGAGTGGTCCATACCCAGAGCTTGTGGGTTGCCTCATGTACCTTATGACTTGCTTGCGACCTGACCTCGCGTACCCTCTAAGCCTTCTGGCTCTCTACGTGGCTCCCGGTCAACACCGAAGGGTGCACTGGGATGCTGCGAAGAGGGTACTGCGTTACTTGTGCAGTACATTGTGCATGGGGCTTGTGCTTGGAGGACGGGGTTCAGTGGTACTCACAGGACACTCCGACGCTTCTTGGGCCGACGACCAGGCGACTAAGCGTTCGTCACAGGGTTACACCTTCAGTCTTGACTCTGGTTCTGTCTCGTGGAGTTCCACTCGTTTTTCTTCTGTGCTTGGCTCCAGCTGTGAGGCCGAGATCTACGCTGGGGCCATGGCTGCACAGGAGCTACGCTGGCTGACCTACCTGCTGACCGACTTGGGAGAGTGGCCTCGTTCTCCTCCAGTTCTGTACGTCGACAACAAGGCAATGCTTGCCTTGTGTCACGAGCAGAGACTGGAGCACAGAACGAAGCACATTGCTCTTCGCTACTTTCTTGCTCGAGAGCTGCAGCAGCGTCGTCAGCTCCGCCTTTCCTACGTGGCCTCGCGGGCCAACACTGCTCATGTCTTCACCGAGGCCCTTGGGTCTGGTGATCATCAGCGTTTCTGCACTGCACTTGGGCTTGTGCCCACTCGGCCTCACCTGCTGGTTGCTTGACTTGCACTTGTTGTACACTGATATATATCTTTATACCTGTTTGTTCACTCTTGCTAGGTTGTAAGCAGTGTTCTGCCTTGCTATAATAACTCTGCATGTGAACTGGCCTTCTGGCCGCTTCCTTGTGCTCAGATTGTGTGGTGTCCTTGAGAACCACCCTGAGCTTTGCGTTGCTTTGTTCTCTTGCTTGACTAGTCTTGTGACCAGGGCCTCAGATTCACTTTTAGGGTCGTCGACCCATCAGGGTACCCTTGTGTAGAAACCCTGATTGACAGTGTTCCTAAAAAAAAAAACCTGAAATATCAGTGTTGCCTTTGAAAAAAGGCTGATGCATCAGTGTTCAATAATATGAAAGGTTGTTATAATTAGAAATCTCTATTTTATGTACTAAGTCAGTAGCAGCCTTCCGAAACATTGCTAAGCTAACATGCCTCATGAATCATCACCAGCCGTGCTATCATCACTGCCCTTAGCCTTTGGTTCTTCTCTCTCCTCCTCAGCTTGGGACACCAGTACGTGATAGTGCTTTTTGACACACACACCCCGGCTTCACTTCTGCTTGCGACACTTACACGTTGAAGCTGCAGGGGCAGGGTTGGGGGGAGGAACCGGATTGACAGGCAGGGTGAGGCAGGGAAAGAGAGAAAAGGAGGGAGAGAGGAGGGAAGACTAGCACGGTTGGGGGGGAGACGACCGGGGGAGAGAGGGAGTGGACGGAGTGCGGGGTAAAGGGAGCGGGGGAATGGACGGCGGGCACGTGGGTCATGCGCGGGTCATGCCGTCGCGCAGCACGACGCTCTGCGCACCGCCCGCGACGCGGATGGCCTTTCAACCGCGGTTCGTGCTGGCGACGAGGCAGCCTTCGGTCGTCGCCATTAGCACGAAAAACTACGCGTCGTCGAGTCGTAGCGGGCCTACGACACCGACGGGAATTGCCACGTGGCTGGCGACCTTCTCGCAGCATGCGCTGCGGATCGCGTCGAACGGGAGCGATGTGTTCGGCGAGACAAGAAGAGGTTCGGCGGCGCTCGCGATGGGTTCGATTCCCAACAGCCCGCCGTTTCTGCTGCTGATGGTGCCATGTATTAGTGCAGATGAGAAAGCACGAGAGGAATCGGGCTGAGAGGGAGGGAGAGAGAAACAGGAGGAAAGGTAACACGAGAGATTGGATTGGAGGGAATGGGAGCATCAATGCTTGCCAGCACAGCCAACGGTGTAGGAACCCTCGCAGCCCTCAAGCACCACATGGTTGCCACATTCCGATTAGCCAACGCTTTATGCTGGAGCGAAACTGCCCAATGGAGTGCTGGCACCGCAGGAATCTGAGATTCCCTGTAATCGCGGGCAAATCCACACGGAATGAGTAAGAATTGGTTTCAGTGTTAGTTTCGTTACAATGTTGTGGAATCAGTGTACTTGGGAAAAAAAAGTCTGAAATTTCAGTGTGGCCTAACAAAAAAGGCTGAAAGATCAGTCCCACAAAAATCTCAACACTGATTTTTCAGTGTATGTAAAAAAAGGACTGCCAAAATCAGGAATTTCAGGGTTTTTTTCTGATATCTGAGGCCCTTCTTGTGACCACTGTTTAGTTTGGCTATCCTCTCCTTCACCTATGGGGAGTGTGTCAAAACATTCTAGGTACGGTATGTTTCTAGTTTGTCTAGGCTATGTAGGGATTATCCTTAGAGGGTACAACTCTTTTCTCGACAATCTTGTACCCCACCCCCAACCTAATGGACCATCGATACTCACATTACAGGTTCCTAAACACATCCACTATTTCGTCGGTGATTTTCTGCCCAAACAAATGCGGGAGATTACTGGTTAGATCCACTTGAATGCCACACTCCACAATCGCCTTATCTCTTGCCAGAAGCACGTGCTGCTCATCTTCCCCTCCAACAGCTTTTGCACTGCCAGCAGCTTCCAACCATGAAGACAGCACATCCTTTGCAAGAGGGCAAACAATTTCTTCCACTGTTTCAGACAGCCAATCAGCACTCTCATGTGGACCTGCTGACTGCTGCTGTGGGACAGCTCCAGAGTGTGCTGGCTTCTCACTGCTTGCCCTTGGTTTGCCAGGAGAGGCGTCGGTCGCTACAACAGAACTGTTGCTGTCGGTGGTGGTGGTCGGTGTAGGCTTGAGTGAGAAGAGCAGCGCAGTTGGGGAGAGAGCAGCACGCAGGAAGAGTGTGGCTGGGGAGAATGGCTCAAGCCTCTTGTTGGCAGCACACTGCAAAGAGACAGAAAGAGGAACAGAGATTCGCATGATAAGAAAAAGGGAGGACATTTTAACCTGGTGAGGTTACTCACTCCCACTGGCACAAACAACAGTGAAACTTCATGCTAGTTCTGGGTGGTGCATGAGCAAATGTGTCAAAAAGAGAGTGAGATCTGCACACCTGCGCCCACAGACGAGCCAGCTGAGAGGTCTCATAGACTCGCTGCCTGTACTCTGCATCTGCTACAAGGTCCTTCCGTGCAATCACATCCATCACCACTGTCAGCTGGTTGAACGCTGCGAAAAATGGGAGCATATGCGGGGGGGAAATGTCTTATACAGGAAGGATAACAGTAAACCGGAATATGCAAGGAAGGACAAAGTTTGCCTTGCAGTCACTGCAGTGCAGACAATGACGGGAGAAAGAGGGGACAGGTGAAAAAGGCAGGGTGTGCAGCACATGCACAGACACAGCAGCAACTTTAATAGTGAATCGGAGCACGGCATACATTTGAAATGCTCTGAATCTCGCTAGCAGATTCCTGTAGCAAGCTTGAGAAATCTCCATACCTGAGGATACAGCAGGAGCCGGGGAGGCAGCAGTTCCCCCTCCTGCATCTTCAGCAGAAGCAGAAGTAGCGCCAGCTGCACTGGCAGCATGGGCAGCGTTAGCAGCATGAGCAGCGCCAGCGGTATGGGCAGCGCTAGCAGCATGGGTAGCATGTGCAGCTGCAGCGGAACCAGAGTGCTGCAGCGTGGCAACAGCCGATTGGTCGACGGGAGGGCCAGAGAAGATAAATTCAAAGAGTAGGTGGGGGGCATCAGTGGCCGGTCCCATGAGCACTGTGAGTGTGGCAAAGGCGAGAGAGGCCATGGGGAGCGGGCAGTGCAGCCATGATGCCAAGAGACGGTCCACCTGTGCATGGATGGGGGAAGGCCAAGGACAAGAAAAGGATAAGGTGGCGACATGATGAGAGTGAGGAGAGAGTTAAAGTGAAAAACAGTGGATTGGGACTTCAAAACTAACCAACTGACAGCCCATTAACAACAACTGGAAGCGAACAACAGCAACCGAGGGCAAGTGACAGTAGCTCAACTCTCACCTTCCGACCCGCAGGGCTGGATGGCTCCTGTGATGCCTTGCCTGCGCGCATGAGAATGGCCCCTGTCGACCTCCCGTCCGGACTCTCAAATCGCTTCAGAAAATCGTCCGTCTTACCGCCCCCTTTTGCACTACCAGCATCACCAACACCACCCGGCGCTGCAGCACCACCAGCACCAACAGCAGTGCCAGCACCAGTGTTTGATTCCACTCTCCCTCCTCGCTCAATTAATTCCTCCCCAATCGCCTCCTGAATCTTGTGCAGTACTGCTGACATCATCGCCGCCACGGCGGGTGGCAACGTGGACGAATCAAACGGCGCCACGACAGCAGCACCAGCGGTACCACCCCCGTGCGCAGCAGCAGCAGCAGCGCCAGCAACAGCAGCTGCTGTGACAGCAGCGGCAACGGCGGCGGCTGTGGAAGCAACGAGTTTCCTAGGCACCGGAAAAGAGGGGAGCGAAGAAGAAACCGAGGGGGACGGGGGGTTGGCGAGGGGAGATGAAACGAGGTGGGGAGGAGGCGAGGGGAGGGGAGAAGACGAGTCGCGTCGGCGGCTCTGGTGGCTAGACGAGGAGCCAGAGTGATGGTTTGCCATGGCGGGTGGTGTCTGTCGTTGCCGATGGAGCAGCAGCGGCAGATGCGGCGGAAAAAGCGGCTGTGGGCGTAGCGGGAGGCCCGGCCGTTGGTTCTTGATGCTAGTGATTGCAAAGCCATGGGACGCAGAAAGGGCGTGTGACGAAGCTAGCGAAGAGACAAAGCAGTAGGAGATAGCGGCCATAGAGGGAGTGACAGCCGAGAGGAGGAGGAAATGAGAGCGAAAGCGTGAGCGAGTGAGCGAGCGAGAGCGCTGGGTGAGAGCGCGAGCGAGAGCGCTGGGTGAGAGCGCGAGCGCGAGAGACCTCGGAGAAGTTCGCAATGAGGAGAAGAACTAGAGCTCTGGATATTTAAATGCGTCCGACGTCGCACTTGAGACTACTCGAATCCTGAAAACGCTCGGAAAAGCGAGGAAAGGGAGCGAGGGAGCGAGAGGACGAATCACGGAGGATGAATCCGGCGAACGAGTGAGTCCAGGTTGACCGCTGCTCGCGAAGACCGACTATTTCCTTCTACGGTGCGTGAACCTCGACTGGTAATTCGAGCAAAAGCATCGTTAGCGACGCGAGGAGCCGGGAGCGACGAGCTTTCCTATTGCGAGTTCTCGGAGACCTCGGGGACCACTGGAAAAAAAGCCGCGCGACGCGACCAGCTTCCCTAGTGTGAAAGTGAACGAGAGTGCATGGCTCGTTCATTTCAAGAACCGCGAAACATTTGCGCATCTCAACTCAACATGTTCACGCTTTGGTCTGTTCCCCCATTCCCCCATTGTCTATTCGGGCAGGTTTCGTTCATCCCAAATCTCAACACGCCAGTTCTCAATAAAAATACAACGAATAGGAAACCATGAAATGAAAACGCGGGAGGTTTTGCCCTATTCTTCACCTCAATCGACGGCTGCAAGTCAATCAATCAATCAATCGGAATGAGATGAGCGGCCATCGAGACGTGTCTCCTGCTCTGATTTGGTCCGTGCTGGTCAGGTGACCGCGACAGCGCAGGACGTGCTTGGCGATTGCTCCCACTAACAAGCTGGAAGTGGAATGATTAGAAACTCCTTGCCAACTATATGGTACTAACAATGTTATAACACCCGAATCAAACAATTGTCACTAAGGCACCTAGCTGGATACATACAAAGGGAACAATGTCTATATAATATGAGAGCTCCACAAACAAAAAGAAAACAGCCCACCAAAACCAGCACCCCAACTATTGGCACAAAAACAGTATGCATTATGCAAGCTCATGGCCAACATAATCTGTGGCTTTTACAAGCTATTGCTAGTCCAGTCATAAGGCCGGAACTGCAAACGCACCGCCTTCCCAGCAGCCAACGCACCCTCCACCTGAGCCCTCACTTGTGCTTTAAGAAATGGCAGTATCCACTGCACCTTTGCCTCCTCATTCTCTCCGAAATCCACCCCATACCAATCCAACAACTTGGTAACCTCTAGCACCAACTCACCTCCCACTCCTCCATCCTTCTCCTTCCCTCCACTCTTCTTCCCATCCACCACCACCTGCACATCCCCTTCCAGAAACGCACCAGCAGCAGTATCCAATTCACTGTCAATTGCATCCCCCGAAAAGAGACGGATCGGAGGGCACGACCGCGCACCGCAGTTCAGGGCAAAATGAATCCTCGGGTCGGCGGGCGGCAGCGAATAAAATCTCCGCGGATCTGACCCTCCAAACGGGCGCTTTCCCGGAAAGAACGGCAACCCGATGGTCGCACGGTTACCGCGCAGAATCCCGTGCTCTATACCGTCAAGAGAGAAGGTATGGCCGGCGATGAGGTAGGAGGAGTTGGAGAAGAAGCGCTTGCGGTCGAGTGCGGATTGGGGTGGGCCGAGTGCGAGCGTGGCGTGCAGCACGAGGGAGTTGTAAATGTTGATCCAGAAGGCCTTGCGGTGGGGCCGCGGCAGCGCAAGCACATCCACCTGCACGGGCGTGCGGAGGAGGGAGGGGTTGATGGGGAAGGGGGAGTGAGGGAGAAGGTGCGGGGGGAGGGGCCGGGCAGTTTCATGATAACTTACCATGCGGTGAGAACGAAAAGAACATAAAAGAAGTCAAAAAAGGTCACAGTGGGAATTTGGTGCGATGGGCGGTACGGAGTGGGACCTCTTGTGGGGGGGTGAGGGGCAGAAAGGGGGGGGGGGGGGGGGGGGGGGGGGGGGGGGAAGAGGACGTGGACGCGAGTGCATGGGCGTGGATGATATTAATGAGTAATACGAAAACAAATGGATGAAGCAATTGCCGATGTACAGAAAGTCACACCAGATCGAGCAAGGAATGCACAGGAAACAAGCATACATCCATGCATGGCAGCATAGATGCATGCATCAAGCACACCACTCACCTTTTGCAGTTCCGCAGCGGCTCGCACATACTCCTTGAATGCATCTGACGCCGCCAGACGCTTGTAGCTCACGCCACCCCCGTCCAGTGACAGTGCCTCCTCGTACATCCGCACAGTTGCCGCCCGCAGCCCGCTAGCAACAACCGACGCCGCCTGCGCAGACCGGAGGAAGATCGGGCGCGCGTTAAGCGCGGTGCTTTCGGGCAGCTCGTCGGGCAGGAGGCGGAAGAAAACATTGGGTTTGTTGGTAAAGGGCTGTGAGTAGGTGATGTGGTGAATGAGATCTGCTGCTGCCAGTTTCTCTGCCAACCCCACTGCTGCTGCTTCACCATCTCCCTCTGCGTTTTCTGGTGGAGGCATGTTCGCTTTGAGCCATGCAACAATGGCAGCACCGGACACCACGCTCTTGTGCGCTCCCAACAGGCCCTCCTTCACCTCCTCTCGCCTCACCCCTCCCTCCCCCTCCCCTGCTGCCATTTTCTCAAACACTGCTATGAGCTCCCGACTCAATCCAGGCCACACCTCCGCCCCTCCTTCCGCACCTCCTGCTGCCCCTGCCGCCGCTGCTGCCCCTGCTGCTGCTTCTGCCTCTGAGTCGCTCGATGCAGCAGGTTTGAGGCTGAGCAAAGGAATGAGGGCAGGCGGGAGTGGGTCAGGGGGGGAGGCAAGGAGATCCTGTATCTTGTTGCTGGTCACAAGCTGTGTGTGCGAGAGAGATACAGAGAGAGAGAACGAAAAGGGGGAAGCAGGGGAGCGGGAGTGAGAGGGTGCGAGAGCGAGGGCAGGGGAAAGAGGAAAAGGAGAGAAAGACAAGCACGTCGAGGAGGGAATTAGAGGGGATGTGGCGCCATGGATAAATTAAGTGTAATGACAGGCAGGCAAGTAGCCCATGGAACTTGCGCTCAGGTAGGGGGGAGGGAGGGGGAGTTTTGGGGAACATGAATAGCCTGGCAAGTGCATGGCACAGTAGAGCAACTAGAAAACGTAGATAGAAACATACGTGGCTGCAGGAAAAACGCCATATCTAAGTACTGTAAGCCTTAGCCACACAATCAAATCTCCCTTAATTCCTCTCTCTTCCTCCCTCCTCCCTCCCTCTACCTTTGTTGCGCCTCTCTCTCTCTCCCTATCATTCCCTCTCTCCCACTCCCACAACCACTCGTCGCCATCACATCACCTGTTCCAGGTCGTCAAATCCGCCAACCAGCCGCCCGCCAACGTAGATTACAGGCACTGTGCGCATGCCTGACGCCTCCGCCAGCGCCGCTCGCGCCTCTGCCGCGGAAACCACAGCCGAGGACGAGGGGGAGGAGCCCAGAGGCGCAGCGGTAGTAGCGGCAGCATCGGCAGCGGCAGCGACGGCGGCAGGAGGGGGGTTGTCGAGGGCGACGGAGCATTCACTGTAGGCGAGGCCGTTAGACGCGAGCAGCGCCTTGGCTTGGCGGCAGTAGCGGCACGCAGGGACGGTGAAGATGAGGATGGGCGGAGCCGGGGCGGACGGAAGCATGCTGCTGCTGTCGGCGGCGGTGGCGGTGGTGGTGGGAGAGGTGGAATGCTGTGGAGGTGCGGTTTCGGCAGTACCACCGTTGCTGCTGCTGTTGGCCTGGAGGGATTTATGTGGGGAGGATAGAAAGGGGAGAGTGTGTCGTACACAAGGGTTTCCTTATACGATGCAAAGAAACATGTGTGTGCGGAAAGAAAGCATTAACATAGGATATAATAACGCGCGCGACTGAAAATTTACCATGACTACACGACGCTCGTTCGAAGGACGGATTAGCTCAACAGCGGCGGAAGACTTGCGCAAGACGAGGAGCTCGCGCGCACTGGTTCCGCGCGGAAGCAGCGGCGCCGAGCGGCGAGGAGGCAAGAGCGCGAATGGATTCGGTTGCAGCTGCGAGGGGGTGACGCATGCGCAGGCATGCGCAAGTGAATGCATGGATGCAGCCAGCAATGATTGCCGCAAATTTGAGCGAGGAAGCAGACGGGATGGGTGGGGAAGAAACGAGGATACTGTGTGGAATATCTGAGGACCTAGAGATTCGCCTGAAGTAGTAGTATGTTGGGCTCCAGGTGTCTGGGCCGGGCTCCAAGTTAATCTCCGCTATTGAGTTTCATTCTGTCCATCCAACTTTCATGACAGCTGACATATTTACTGCAGCTCTAAATTCAGCGTAACAATACTCATGAACATAATCAGAATCCTAGCTGATTGAGATCACCAATCACAGCCCGAGCTCGAATCGGACCACCAATCACAGCCCGCATGTTCCTCCCCACCCCACTGCTCCTTCCTTACCCGTCTCGCTAACGGCACGGGGTCCGTAAACTCGCTTCTGACCCGGCACTTCCCGAGCCGCATTTCGGACTCCAAGCAAACTCGATTTGTATAAATTTGAATTCGGCAGTTCCCAAGGCATCAGTTCAGCAACTCCCTTCGTTGTGCCAATCCCATTCAATCCTACCAGCAGCTCCTTTACAAGAATCCAGCTTCCAGACGTTGGTTTTCGGATATGGGATCTCTCTGAAGGAATATATTAGAGAGCGTAGCGATAGCGAGAGAGTCTCTGCTATGGGAATGATGTTGCGCCAGCAACTTGGTAGAGTTTTGGTAGCGTTTGCCTCTAAGGACTTTGTGAGAATTGAAGTAGCATTTGGGCCAAGTAGAATTTCAATATCAATTATCAAACACACAAGCAAACACAAACATATATAGGCAAGCAAGAGTTGCACAATTGTTGCGTGGCGCTGCGAGTAACCCAACCCACACGAAAGTGCTGTGCAGGTGGGTGAACGCGCCCCGCACATTTCCAACCCAACTCGGCACCGGAATGTCTCACCGTGCACGCTACTCCTGCCAACACAGCAAGTGAGCAGCGTGCCTCACAAGCAAGGCACCTACGACCCCCAAGACTCGTCATTCCTAGCACCGATTCCGCCGAGTTCGCTGCAGTAGCTCACAGTCACCCGTAGTCACTAATGACCGCCACCGAACTCGTGCGTCGGTGCCGAGTAGACTCAGTCGTTAGGCGCCGACCTGCCAAGTCAAAGGTCATCGAGGGCCCTTGCTGTCGTAGGGCCCTCTAACACTCCCCTGCCATACTACAGCAAGGCCCTTTATAATCACAGGGCATGCATACACACATACACACCAAAACAAAGGGATACACACAAACGAAACACGCTCAAAGTGTAAACACGCACCGCACCAGCCATGGATAGGCCATGGCACCATCCACATCATGGAGTGTCTAGGTCTTCACTCCCCTCACTCGAGAGCCGCACCTGCCCCACAGCCTCGAAGCAACGACTGAAGGCGGGGAAATGCAATGCCTTTGTGAGGTAGTCAGCAGGCTGCTCGCTCGTAGGGATGTACTGCAGCTGCAGCTTCCTGCGCTTGACCATGTGCTGCAGCCACATGTGACGACGCTCCATGTGCTTGAGGCTCCCCTTGAGCCCCATGCCACCTGCCACTGAAATCGCGGAGGAGTTGTCCACAAAGAGAGTCGTGGGCTCCTCACTCCTCAGCAGTTGAAACTCTGCCAGCAGGAAGCGCAGCCTGCGCGCCTCCTTCCCAGCCTCCACAGCAGCAACGTACTCAGACTCAGTGGAGGAAAGGGTGGCGCAACGAATCCGCTGGCTCGCCCATGAGACAGCAGCACCCCCGAGCACGAAGACATAGCCACCTGTGCTGGTCCTGTTCTGCTTGTCCCCTGCATCATCAGCATCGGCGTAGCCCACCAGCTCCAAGGACTCCGGCCCACCACCAAACTCCAGCGCCACATCCCTGCTCCCCACCAAGTACGTCAAGCACCGGTCCAACTCCTTCCAGTGCTGATCACTCCGCACAGTCTGGCCCGACCCCAGCTTGCTGCAGGCGAACGAGATGTCGGGACGGGTGGTACAGGCCGCGAACTGCAAGGATCCCACCTTCTGCCTGTACTCCTCCTCCTGGCGAGACTGCCATCCCACATCCTCGAAGGTCTGCACACTGAAAGGGTCAGAGGAAAGAGGGTGCGAGGCACTCGCAGCGGCTGCTCCCCGTCAAAGAAGCGCCTATGGACCTTGTCCACATAGGCCCCCTGGTGCAGCCACAGCCTCCTCGTGGGCCTGTCCCGAATCAGCTGCAACCCCAGATATTTCTCCACAGGGCTAATCTCCCGCAGCTGAAAGGCACTCTGCAGCAGGTCACGCAGCTCCGCTAGCATGCTCTGACTGCGGCTGGCAGCAAGCAGGTCATCCACATACACCAGCAGCCAGCACATCTCCCCCTCAGCATCAGTCTTGAAGTACAGAGCCTCATCCACCTTGCTCTTCTTCCATCCAGCCCCAAGCAGCACCCCATCCAAGGCCTCATACCATAGCATCGGGCTCTGCTTGAGCCCATACAGACTCTTCACCAACTTACAGACACGAGGAGTCCCATCCTCATAGTAGCTCGGCTGCTCCATGTAAAGGTCTCGGTCCAGCACGCCATGGAGGAACGCGTTCTTCACATCGAGCTGCATCAGGTCCAAATCAAGTGCAGCTGCAATCGCCAGAAGCACACGCGCCGTCACATAGCTTCCCACAGGGGCGTACGTCTCCTCATAGTCCACCCCTGCCACCTGCGTGAACCCCTTCACCACCAGCCTCGCCTTCTCACGCTCCACTATCCCATCAGGTCGGAACTTGGTGTTCAAAATCCAGCGGTTCTTCATCACATTCACCCCTGGCGGACGCGGAACCAACTCCCACGTCCCCTGCTCAATCAAGCTCCGCATCTCCTCATCCATCGCCTCCTTCACCTTGTCTCCCTTCCAGCAGCCCAAGGCCTCCTTCACTGTCATTTTCGCTATGTCCCACTGCCTCTCAGGATCAGCTGCCACGTCCGGGTCCAGGTTAGTCCACTCCTCGTCCTCCTCCTCGTCATCCAAGCCCGCTGGCTCAACCACTACAGCCCAAGCATATCGAACAGGCGGGACACCACGAGTGATGCGAGTGGAGCGACGCAGTGGTGCAGTGGTCGTCCCAGAAACCAACACACGACCACCATCTCTAATTCCCCACATCTCCTGCTCCCCTGTCTGCTGCTCCCCAATCTGCTGCTCCCCTGTCTGCTGCTCCCCTGTCTCCTGCCCCCCACTCTGCTGTACTCCATCCATACTGGGTTGCTCACGACTCGTCCAAGCACCCCGGCGGCGTATGCGAGGTCGGGACGGGTAGAAACGGCGGCATACATGAGCGAGCCCACTAGTGAATGAAACCGCTTCCCTTCGGGTTCGTCGAGGGTGGATTCTTCCTCTCCCGTGAGGCAAGGAAATCCCGTAGCTAGTGGTGTTCCCACCGGTTTGCTATTGCCCATGCCAAAGCTCTCCACTACCCCCTTCACATACTTCTCTTGGTGGAGGTGGATGGTCCCGTTGGCTCAGTCACGGTCGACGTGCATCCCAAGGTAGTACGTGACTGGCCCCAAGTCCCTCATCGCAAACTCCGCCCCTAGCCGTTGCTTGACCTCCCGAATGAGGTCTTTGGAGTCGGAGAAGAGGAGTAGTTCATCGACGTAGAGTAAAAGCACCAATTGCTTCTTCCCCTCCTTCAACACGTACAAAGCGCTATCGCACTCGCTACGAGCGAAGCCGTGTTGAAGAAGAAAGTCGTCGATGCGCTTGTACCATCCGCGTGGACTTTGCTTCAAGCCGTAGAGGGTACGCTTGAGCTTCTTCGGCTCAAGTAACGGAAAAACATTCCGAGAAACTACGTTCGCTCATGTATGCCGCCGTTTCTACCCGTCCCGACCTCGCATACGCCGCTGGGGTGCTTGGACAAGTCGTGAGCAACCCTCATACCGAGCATGTGCGCGCGGGAGGACGCGTTCTACTCTACCTCCAAGGCACACCTAACTTGGGGCTCGTGTATGAAGCCGGCCCAATCGAACTCAAAGGCTATGCCGACTCGGACTACGCGGGAGATCCGAGCACGCGCAAGAGTACCTCCGGGTACGTCTTCACCTTGCTTGGGGCAGCTGTGAGTTGGCAAAGCAAGAAGCAACCAACCGTGGCTCTAAGCTCAACGGAAGCGGAGTATATAGAACTCACACAAGGTGTCATGGAGGCAATATGGCTACGTCATCTTCTAGCGGAGCCTGGGCATCCTCAACCGAACCCAACTCCTCTCTTTTGGTGACGTTTCAAGGCGGTGTAACGGAAAAACATTCCAGAACGCACAAAACCTAATACTGACCGCGGAATGACCCGATTGTGTGGCATCTCGGGTTTCTAACTCCTTGGAGATTGTAAACGCTAGTACAATATACTGAAAAACGCGAAATGGCTGAGTCAAACCTTGTTGTACGGTGTACAGTTCGGTTGAAATGTCGCGGTACTAGTCAGGGAATGCGATGAGTGTTGACTGTGACCACGTAGTGACAAGGGTTACCATGGAGGGATAACGGGTACTACGAAGGGGGTCAGATGATCTGATGGGTACCATCGAGCCACGTAGCGGACTACGGACGTCAGCGGGCTCATTGTTGGTTACCAGGAGGTAATTACCCTTGTATTTGTTCGCGAGGGACAATGAACTCGTCTGTCATGCGCTGATGTCCCAAGCCAACTTTGCAAACCCGTTGCACCTCTGCTTGTGGATTATGAAAAAAATAGGGCGTGGTACATTGAGTTCGAAAGGGCTTAAAGTGTGTGCGAATGTGGAGTCAGGAAACCCCCTGGCAATACTCTAACTCGGAGTAGAGGGCGAACCAAACACATCCCCGGTATCGAGTGTTTGAATGCATTGGGATGGCTTCGTGAAGTTTGAAATCCTTCCATGTACCTCCACCCTGAAATGGAAGCGGCTTTGCCACCAGCCCCTGCACTGGCTGATGTCACCCGTCCCTCACTCCACCCACACTAGGTACAGTGCAATATTTTCAATACATGTCGGCCCTGTGGTGCCAGCTTGCATTCTCGTCCCGGATCGTCTTTCCGAGGCGCACCGCGCACTGGTGGGTGGCATGACAGTGCCAGGGTGTTTCAGCAGCTGCGAAAACTCGCGACGTTTGCTAGCTCTTACCGAATTATGCGAGCGTGTAACTTGATTTCGCCTCCCACCTTTCCTGCTTCCACATTGCTCATTTCGTTCGGACAGATGCTAACTGAACAGCCGTTTTCTTGTTTTCGACTTTTCCGTATTTTCTGTTTCTTTCTAAGCTAAGCTCTTCGTCTGAGCTCACATGCAAGCATACCACTTGAATGTGACAGTTTAGATTCATTTTCGTTAGCTTTACGTGTTCCTGTTCCTATGTGTTTCGATCGATGGCCTTAGGCTTGTCACGGCACGGATATTCCTCCAGATCCTCAACGCACGCGAAGGGTTCTCCTTTAATTGCGTGGGTAATAAGGTGGCTGCCTTTAGTTCTCCTACTATGGATATTGCTTGCGTGGACAGCGCCGCACCACATACTCTCGCACATGTTCGGTATAACCTACGCCACGCCAGCTTCTATCGCGTATGCGGAAGCCGAATCGGCGGCTGCGGCGGCGGCGATTGCGGAGGAGGATCGCGGAACAGGAGACGACGTGATAGGAGAGCACGAAAGATTGGAAGGCGGCAGGGGTTTAGAGGAACGGAGAGCAGAAGGCGAGAGTGGTGACGACGAACCTCCCTTGGAATTGCCGCTCCGAGTGTACCTGTATCCGCTGCCCGCCGCCTTTAACTTCGGACTCCTCCAGGCAAGCGCCCCGCATCCCACGCATACCTTCCTCAATGCCAAGCATTCGCCGCATTCCTCGCATTCCGCACTCCCCCTCACTCCCCGACATCCCCAGGTTCCCCCCATTGCCCCGCCTCCCCGCATACCCCCACAACCCCCGCCTCTCCGGCCCCTCCCGCCACATCCTTGTGAGCCGCTCCCGGCCAACCCACTCACCCTGCCGGCTCGTGTCCCTCACTTCTTCACGGTCCTCCCGCGCTCCCGTCACGGTTGTCTCCTCGTATTCTTCCTGGCTTCTTTTGCACTCCAGCATTCGCTCTTACGCTTTGCTCGCTATCAACGTGTGCCCTCACGAGGCAGGCAAATGTAGAGTAGAATACTCTGGTAACCAAACCACCATGTATCTCTCGTTTGCTCATGAGGAAATGATGAAGGCAAGTGAAAAGGAGAAACAGAATGGACATGGCGTCAATAGCGTGGAGGGCGAGTCGCTGCATAAAGTGAATGAGAATGAGATTCTGTTGCCAACCCCTTATCATATGTCTTCTCTACACACGCTCTTAGTAGCATAGCATATGCTCCATGTATGTACCCGTCACAAGCAACTCCTTTGGCCCAATGCCCAATCTTACATTCCCACTCCCTCCAGGCGCAGTGGAACGTGGGGTGTCGTCTCGACATTCTCGCGCGCCACGGCGTGCCTCCCTCTTGGAACTTCAACTCTTCCTCCTCCTCCTCCTTCTCTTCCGCCACTTCCTCGTCGCTCGCCACGTCAGCAGACGACGACGCTGACGGGGACGGCGACAACTCACTAGACCAAGCCGCAGCCGCCACAGTCAGGGCAGAAGAAGCAGAAGCAGAAGCAGCAGACGGGGAAAGAGGAGAGCGGGGGGCGGGCGGGAGCAACAAGGCTATGAAGGGCGTGCATCTGCCGATGCTAGAGCAGGCGGACGAGCTGGCGAGGCTGGCGGGGTGGTCAGAGGAGGCGGTGGCAGTGCAGGTGCCGTGCTACCACAACTTCCCCTACTACTGGCAGCACAGCGTCGAGTACTACATGACCCTCTCTCTGCTCTTCGGTGCGTGCGTGGGTGGGTGGGTGGGTGGGTATGTGGGTGGGTGCGAGGGTGGGTGGGTGGGTAGGTGGGCGGGTGGAGTGGTGGCTTGGTGGCATGGTGGATAGGTGGGTGGGATGGTGAATGCTGGGTTTCGAGCCTCTTGACCAGCAAGAAAGATATGGGGTTGATGAGGAGGAAGGAACAAGCAGTGAGAAATTAACGACGTGTCTCTCTCAATGATGGGGTGCCTTAACCCCATGACACACCACAATGCCGTGCCACGTCCATCCCCAATTCCCCCTTCCCCTTCCCCATTCCCAATCCCCCTCTCCCCCTTCCCCTCGCATTCCCCCATCCCGTTTCCCCAATCCCCATCCCAAAATCCCCCATCGCCCATACCCCACTCCGCACTCCCCGCGGGCCCCCATGCGCGGTGGGTGGGCGTGCATCAGGGTCGGAGGCGGTGGTGCGGGTGGAGGAGCCGTCACACGCGGACGTGGTGTTCCTGCCCTACTTCTCCACGCTCGCCTTCCGCCTCAAGGCCAGGTGCGCCTCTTGAGGCGCAGGGGAAGGCCTGAGGCAGGGAGGGTGGGGAGGGAAGGAGGGGAGGCAGGTAGGGAGGCAGGGAGGGAAGGAGGGAGAGAGGGGAGAAACGAGGGTTCCGGAAGCTTGGAACAGCAGGGTGTGGTGCGGTTAGCACATGAGAGACGCGGGTAGTACATAGGCCAGGAAGCAGCAGTGCACGGGAGGGAGGGGATGGGAGAAGCTCCACAGGCGCACCACACCACCCACTCCGCTTTCCTTCCCTTCACCGTGCTTCGATTCGTCTCACAATGCACCTTCACCGTCCCTTTCCTGATTTATCGTACCGCATCCCTCCTCTCTCTCCTCTTCTGCACTCGTCCTCACCTAACTCCTACGCACACTTTTCAACCCTTCCCCTCTTCACTCCACCTTCTTTCTCCCACCTCCCCCCTCTCTCCTCTCTTCCTCATCTCCCAAATTCCCCAGCTTTCTCTTGCTGCTCTCCCCCATTCCCCCCCTTCCCCACCCTCTTCCTCCTCCTCCCAACCCTCCCCCCCCGCCCCTCCCGTGTCCCCTATTCTCCCCCCTCCCACCGCAGTGCACGGCTGAACGCGCAGCTGCTACCCATGTTACCGCGCATGGCCACGCATCCGCTGCTCATGCCAGCCGTGTACCCCGTCACTTTCTTTGAGGCGGCCCCAGAAATCCCGTGTCCCCATTTCTCCCCCGTCTTACCCCAGTGAACAGCTGAACGCACAACTGCTGCCAGTGCTACCGCGCATGGCAACGCATCCGCTTCTCATGCCGGCCGTGTACCCGGTCACCTTCGCCAATGCCTCGCGGGACCTGCTGCAGCCCATCAGGAAGCTGGCTGTGGACCTCGACATGTACCGGCCCATGGTATGTAGAAGGGGGAGGGGTGGGTGAGAGGTGGGAGAGACTTCGAGGCACCTCAAAAGTCCTTGCGGGACCACCATTCCTCCCCACCAGGCCCACTCATGTTGTGTGGCAGCTGCGGATAAGAGGGATGCCTGAATAGGACAGCCCACTGTGGGCTTGTGCTCTGAGTCCCAGAGGCCCGCCTCCTCTGCTCCTCCCCACCCCCCTCTGTCCCCCCCCAATAGTTGCAGATCCACTAATTGACCCCCCAGTCCCCCGTCACTCCCTCCTTCCGTAACCTCTTCCTCCCCCTCTTCTCCCCGTCTCCCCTCCCCCACCACCACAACAGAACGCGGACCCACTGATCGACGTGGTGGTGCCGCATGCTGCCCTGGTACCCGCTTACTCTGATGACCCGGGCTCGTGGCAGCAACGTTCACCCGTTCCCCTGCCCCCTCCTCCCCCTATCTCCCCATCCCCGCTCCACAGGACGCGGACCCGCTGATCGACGTGGTTGTGCCGTACGCAGCCCTGGTACCCGCTTACTCTGATGACCCGGGCTCGTGGCAGCAGCGCCCCACACTGCTCTACTTCCGCGGCAACAAGTGGCGCGCTGGCCACTCTGAGGTGCAGGGGGGGGGGGGAAAGGGGGAGATGGGAGGGAGGGAGGGAGAGAGGGAGGTAAAGAGGGGAGGGGAAGAGGGAGAGAGAGAGGGATGGTGGGAGGGAGGAGGGGGGGGAGGGAGGAGGGGAGTGAGGAAGTGGACTTGAGTAATCACGCACGTGGTGGTTCATTCTACCTCGGCCTCCTCCTAACACTCTCCGTTTTCGTCCCCTCTCTACACTTCCCACCCTTCCTTTCCCCACCTCCCCTCCTCGCCGCCCAGGGCCAGGCAGTGCAGAGGGCGCTAGCGGAGGAACTGACGGGGCAAAGGGGCGGGTATTTGAGGTGTATTTTGAGGCGCCTCAAAATACACCTCACTGCAAAGGGGCGGGTATTTGAGGCAACACTTGCATGGGGATGGCTCTCCCTTCTCCCTTCTCTCATCCCCATCCCTTCTCCGCCCCTCTCTCGCAACCCCCCAGGGCCAGGCAGTGCGGAGGGCGCTAGCGGAGGTGCTGGTGGGGCAGAGGGGCGTGGTGTTTGAGGCAGCACTGGCGAGCGACGAGGATAACATCATGGGGGCTGCGGGGGGTCTCAGGCGAGCCAAGTACTGCCTCTCCCCTGAAGGTGAGGCACGTGATAGGCACGGAGGGGAACAAGGGAGGACTGTTGAGACGTTTGAGATGTTTGCCGCTCGCACCTCAAACCACCCCCGGTGCTGGTGGGGCAGAGGGGAGTGGTGTTTTGAGGCAGCACTGGCGAGCCACGAGGATAACATCATGGGGGCGGCAGGGGGCCCTGCGCCACGCCAAGTACTGCCTCTCTCCCCTGAAGGTGAGCAGCAGTGCGGAGGAGATTGAGCGAGGGATCTTGCAATGCTTGAGGCGCCTTGAGAGTTTGCAGGGGGGAGAAGGGGAGGGGGGCGCATGCGAGCAGAGAGTGCTGCCTCTCCCATGGACGTGGGCTGCGGGACAGGTGAGGTCTGGGGGGATCGTGGAATGAGGCGAAGGTGGGGAAGGGTGGAGAAAGGATGACGGCATCCTGCCTTATCCGGGCTACCTAGATTGCCCACCTCACATGTTTCTGTGCTACCCCTGTTTATCTACCCTGTGCTACCTGCCAAGTCAACATTGCACTCGTGCACACGACACGGCTCTCAAAATCTCTCAGAATGCACCTCTATGCTGCTCTTCCCTACACCGCCTGCCCTTCAAACCATCCTCCTGCCCACCCGTCCCCCGTTCTGCCTCCTATCCCGGACCCCCCTCTCTCCCCTCTCCCGGATCCCCCTCTCTCCCCACTTTCCCAAATCCTCCTCTCTCCACCGCCGCCCCATCTCTGCTACCAGGTGACACCTCGTCCAGCTGCCGCCTGTACGACAGCATCCTATCGGGGTGCATCCCAGTGGTGGTATCAGACAGCATCGAGCTGCCCTTCGAGGACGATATAGACTACTCCTCCTTCGCTCTCTTCGTCCCCACCGCCCTTGCTCTCCGCCCCGGCCATCTGCTCGAGCTACTGCGGGGGCAGAGCCGCACGCAGTGGCAGCGCAGATGGTCCAACATGCGCCGGGTGAGAAGGGAGGGAGTGGGAGGGCATGGCGGTGGGGTGGGAACGGTGCGGTGGGGTTGGGTTGGGTGGGGTGGGGTGGGGTGGGGTGGGGTGGGGTGGGGTGCGGTGGAGGGGAGTGGGGTTAAACGGGGCGGGGTTGTGCTGGCTGTGCTGCGGGGGCAGAGCCGCACGCAGTGTCAGTGCAGATGGTCCAACATGCGCCGGGCTAGAGAGGAGGGGGTGGGAGGAGGAGGTGGTGCGGTGCGGTGGGGTGAGGTCGGGTGGGTGGGGTTGTGCGGGAGGGTGGGTGGGATGGGCATGGTGGGGGTTTGAGAAGGGCGGGTGGTAGTTCTGGGTGGGCAGGGAAAAACATTTTATTACTGCTTATAGTCTACCCTTTCTCACTCGACTCATTTTCCTCCCTACTTCCTCATACCTATCCCATGGGTTTCTTCCCCCCCACTCATTAACAACCATCCTTTGTTCCACCCCTTCTGACCCCCTCTTTCCCCCAATCTCCCCAAACCCCCTCCATTGCCCTCCTCACACCCCTCCCCCCAAAATCTCTGTGACCCTAACACTTTACAACTGCATCACCTTTTGAGGCCCTCTAAAGTCGTACGATCCCTCGTCCCTCTCCCCATCTCCGCCTCCCCGGCCCCCCTTCTCCCTGTCATCCCAGCTGCGCAAGCACTTTGAGTTCTCATCACCGCCCGAGCCGGGGGGAGCGGAGGACACGGTGTGGCGAGCAGTGTCGAGGCGCATCCGGGGCAGCACGGGGAGTGCAGGGGCGCAGCGCAACCGGCGGCAGCGCCTGCGGCTACTGCTGCGGCAGCTGGCACAGTATGGGCTGAATGCCTCGCACCTACAGCAGCCCGTGCACGTGCGCCCACCCGTGCACTTGTAGCGCGAGTCTGACTGAGTCGTTGCCTCAAGGATGCGGCAGCTGGCACACCACGGGCTGAATGCTTCGCACCTGCAGCAGCCCGTGCACGTGCGCTTGCCCGTGCACTTGTAGCGTTCAGTGGTGTAGCCATGCTTCAGTACTGGAGCGTGCTCCTGCGCCGCCTCTAGGATGTGCGTGTGCCTGCCTGCCGGTGCTCCTGTAGTGTGCGTGTGGGAGGCACGCAGGGAGGAGGGAAGGAAGGGTAGGAGGCGGAGGAGGTGAGATGGAATGGGGTGGTGGGGGAGGTGGGGATGGGGAGAAAGGGTAGAGGAATAATTGTGGAGTACGGGCTCTCTGTGCTAGCTTTGGTGCACTTCTGGTGACTGCTAGCCGTAAATTGTACCATTGTCCCATAAGGATTTGCACACAGGATATCCAGCACAGCTATAACTGTTCTGTAACTAGTATGTAATGTGCTGCTGCCACCATGTGGAGGTCTCGACACTCGCACTACACCGCACTGTACCGTTCTGCACTGCAGTTCATGTCAGAATCCCAACCACTAAACCATTGGGATAAAAGGGCTTGTTAAGTAGCGGGTCAGTGCGCCCATAACCCCCCAGGACAACGTGCCTGTAACCTTTCCCTAGGATCAATCGGGGATCTCCAATGGACCTCTGACAGTTCACGCTTCACTGGAAGAGGTTCACAAATCATGGATGGATGGAAGCCGCCCGCCCAGGGCTGATTTTATCAGGGTAATTACCCTGATTTCAGGGTGATTTCAGACTTGTCACTTTCTGGACCCTGAGAAATCAGGTTTTTCACATTTTGGTCCCTGATCCATTCAGAGTATTGCTTTAGCGGACCCTGAAATTTTGTGTACACTCTCAGTGTAGGGTTTTCACGGACCCTGTTAATACAGAGTACGAGGCCTGTGGACCCTGAATGCGATGTTATCGGGGCGAAGTTTCTCGGAAATTTCCTCCTGATAACCCCTTCGCATTGATTTCAGTGCCCCCCACGTGCGTAATCCTCCCCCCCCCCCCCTCCCCCCCCCCCCCCCCCCCTCGCTTTATCGAGACGAAGTTTCTTCGAAGTTTCGTTCCCATACACCCACCATCTAGATCGGGCGAATCTGTAATGTCAGATTTTAGGTTGCTGTTATTGGTCGAAATAGATGTGCTCTAACACAGCGCCAGTCACATCGCCACAGTGCCAGTCACATCGCCACAGTGCCAGTCACATTGCCAGTCACATCGCAAGTCACAGCGCGTAAGTCACAGCGCCAGTCACAGTCACCCTTGCGACACCAACAGCAGATTCGACCTCTGCTCCGTACGGAAATCCCTTTTGCGCTAGGTCAAGGCAGATTCTGCTTGAATTCCCCGTAGACTTGTCAAACACATGTGTATATTTGTTATAGTTTGGTTAGGCTTAGTGGGGTACTCACTGTGGGGTACAACCCCTTAGGTTTCTCCTTTGTATCTTTTCCCCTCGATACTCGACACACAACTTTCCCGTAAGATTATGATATGGTATCAGAGCATAGGTCCTTAGGACCTACGATTAGGGCCCACCACGATTGCCTGTCTCACCTAGTGCCTACACGCGCCTCGGCTGCCCGCGCGCGCCCTTTTTTTTTCCCACGTGCGCCGTCTCAGCAGCCCGCGTAGCCCGTTTCGGCCCCGCCTGTGCGCCCCTTAAGCCGCCAGTGCGAAACCTGATTAGGCCACGCCAGCGCGGCCCGTCGCCCAGCGTAGCCCGTAGCGTAGCGACCAGCCCGCAGCCGCGCACGTGCGGCCCGTCGCCCAGCGCAGCCCTCAACCGCACGTAGAATGCAGCCGCGCAGGCTGTAGCCACGCACAGCCCGCAGCTCGCGCAATCCGTCGCCGCGCGTAGCCTGCGGCCGCGCGCGCTGCCCGTAGCCACGCGCAGCCTGCAGCCTCGTGCAGCTAGCCGCCACACGCAGCCCTCAGGCCGCTCCTGCCTGCTGCCTGCTGCCTGCCGCTCCTGCCTGCCGCCTGCCTGCTGCTTGCTGCCTGCTGCCTGCCTGCTGCTTGCTGCCTGCTGCCGCCTGCCTGCTTGCTGCCTGCTGCCGCCTGCCTGCTTGCTGCCTGCTGCCGCCTGCCTGCAGCCTGCCTGCTGCCTGCCTGCTGCCTGCCTGCTGCCTGCCTGCTGCTTGCTGCCTACAGCCTGCCTGCCTGCCTGCTTGCCGCCTGCCTGCCGCCTGTCTGCAGCCTGCCTTCTGCCTGCCTGCTGCCGCCTGCCTGCCTACTGCCTGCAGCCTGCCTGCTTGCTGCCTGCTGCCGCCTGCCTGCAGCCTGCCTGCCTGCTCCCGCCTGCCTGCTTACTGCCTGCAGCCTACCTGCCTGCCTGCTTGCTGCCTACTGCCGCCTGCCTGTAACCTGCCTGCTGCCTGCCTGCTGCCTGCCTGCTACTTGCTGCCTGCTCTCGCCTGCCTGCTTGCTGCCTGCTGCTGCCTGCCTGCCTGCTTGCCTGCTTGCTGCCTGCTGCCGCCTGCCTGCAGCTTGCCTCCTGCCTGCCTGCTGCTTGCTGCCCCTGCCTCCTGCCTCTGCCTCCTGCCTCCTACTTGGTGCCTGCTGCCTCTGCCTGCTGCTTGCTGCCCCTGCCTCCTGCCTCTGCCTCCTGCCTCCTACTTGGTGCCTGCTGCCTCTGCCTGCTGCCTGCTGCCTGCTACCTCCTGCCTTAAGCCAATATGGCGACGCCTAATGTTCTAGCGTTCGAGCCTGACGGTCGTCCCATCGAGTTCAGTGTATGGTTAGACGATCTCCAACTATTCCTTCTGACTGATGCCAAAGATGGCGTTTCCCTGTTTGATTATGTCTCTGGCTCTGCCGTTGCTCCTGCTGCTGATGCTCCTTCTCTAGAACGCTCCCAGTGGCAGTCTCGTGATGCTGCTGCACGTCTAGCTATTAGGAACCACCTGCCGATTACTGAGCGAGCGCATTTCAGCCAGCACAGGACTTCTCAGACACTGTACGACGCTGTAGTTGCGCGCTACTCCTCCCCGGCCACTGCAGCCATAGGTCGACTCATGCTACCGTACCTGTTCCCCGATCTTTCCTCGTTCACCACTGCTGAGGACCTAGTTTCTCACCTGCGCGCTACTGACTCTCGCTTTCGTGCCGCCCTTTCAGCCGAGTTCTGCGCCGCAAACCCCCCCCCGATGTACTTCACTCTCTATTTCCTCGTCACCCGCCTCCCTGACACTCTTAGCTCTGTCAGGGACCACTTCCTAGCGCTAGACCCCACCACTCTCACTGTAGACGACTTCGAGAAGCACCTCCTCGCAGCAGAGAAGAACATCCTCGCTGTAGGTGCTGCTCGTGGCACTCCTCGCTCTCCCCTCTTTGAGGGGTGCTCCCCCTCCCCTCTCACCCCCTCCTACGCCTCCGCAGCTGCTGAGGGGGTCGGAACTGCTTCCGCTCCCAGTGGGAAGCGTCGCAGCGGCAGGGGCGGCGGGGGTGGCAGGGGCGGTGGGGGTGGAGGTGGTGGAGGTGGTGGAGGTGGTGGAGGTGGAGGCGGTGGTGGGGGCGGTCGTGGGGGTGGAGGCGGTGGAGGTGGTGGTGGGGGCGGCGGAGGCACTGGGAGCAGTGGAGGCGGCAGCAGCGGAGGTGGGGGAGGAGGGAGCGGTGGTGGCAGTGGTGGTCAGGGCCAGCAGCAGCCGCAGCAGCAGCAGCAGCCGCAGCAGCAGCAGCAGCATCAGCGTCAGCGCCAGACCCCCACTTCCCAGCAGCTTCTTGACTGGTATGCCGGGCGTGGGGCTTCTGGGGGTCCTGGTCGCTGCCCCTATATCATCCGCACAGGTCCCCGCGCTGGTCGCCAGTGCACAGGTTTTCACACTGAGCAGCGCTGCTTCGCTCGGCTTAGCGACGCCTGGCGCGCCAAGTTTCCTGATGCTACTGAGTTCCCCAACTGGGCAGACTTGCTTAGGCGTGATGTACCTATCTTTGATCTTGACTATGAGGCAATTCTTGCTGCTATATATGCCTTGTCTGTTAGTGCTGAGGGTGACTGCTACTTGTGTGTGCCGCCGGATCCTGCTATAACCCCTGGTATAGCCCCTGCAGCACTAGGTGCTTGTGAGTCTGCTCCCCTTGGTACTGCGCCTGCACAGGCTTTGCACACCTTTACACTTGACTCTGGTGCTTCCCGCTGTTTCTTTCGCGACAGTACCACAGTCACTCCCCTCCCTGCACCTATTCCTGTCTCACTGGCTGACCCCTCTGGGGGCCCAGTGCTTGCACGGTCTTCCACTATGCTTCCGTGTCCGGCGGTCCCGTCTGGTGAGCTGTCTGGTCTCCACCTCCCCTCGTTCTCTACGAACTTGGTGAGTAACGCTGTCCTCCAGGATGCGGGGGTTGACACCTTCACCCCTGGCCGGCAGCGTGTGGCGATTTGCACGTGCTCCCAGACTGGTCGCCACCTGGCCACGTTCGCTCGTGCGCCGGGGTCCAGTCTGTACACCCTCACCACTGCGTCACGCTCCGCCCCTTTGTCTCCCCAGTTGCACGCGTCTGCTCAGGTAGCTACACAGTGTGAGTGTCGCCGGCTGTCGCACGACACTCTCCTGTGGCACCACCGCCTTGGTCACCCCTCCCTGCCTCGCCTACGCAGCATGCACTCCCGCCTCCTGGTTTCTGGGCTTCCCAGGTCTCTGCCTCCCCTCCCTCCCTCGCCTGCGCCACCCTGCATTCCCTGCGTCGAGGGGCGGCAGCGCGCCGCTCCTCACTCCTCCTCGTTCCCTCCAACAGAGGCTCCACTGCAGACTCTCCACCTGGACATGTGGGGCCCAGCCCGCGTCCGTGGACAGGGCCACGAGCGGTACTTCCTGCTGGTTGTCGACGACTACACGCGCTACACCACGGTCTTCCCCTTGCAGCGCAAGGGGGATGTCCCTGATGTTTTGATCCCCTGGATCCGCGCTACTCGTCTCCAGCTCCGCGAGCGGTTCCAGTCGGGCTTTCCTGTCCTGCGTCTGCACTCTGACAGAGGTG